TACTCATATTTTGCAAACAATCAAGAGATAACTTAACACATTATTTTACGTAGTCACTCGTAGGAGACGCCATGCTTTTTTTGTGTACGGTTATGCACTCGGAACTACTCGGATGTCTCCGCACTCGACAATAACTTTGTTGTTAGTATGGAGCTTGCGGAATCAGGCGAGGATTGCCGATTGACGGTCAACCAATCAGCGTTTTCACCAAACTTTGGTGAAAAATTTTGAAACTTGGATTCGATTGGCTTATATAAACTAGGTCAAACTATTTTCGTCAGAGGTAACTTGACACGATGAAGATAGGCTATAGTGAAGAGGTTAGTGTCAAGTTATCTCTGAAGCTCAGGGTGCAAAAACGGCAGTTATGGCTATTATTCTGATATCTGAGCTTGTCTTTAGATCACGTGACCTCACTGATGGCTATACTCTGTTATATTTTCTCTACTTCTATGATCGAGATTAGGCCACACTTTTTTATTTTTATGGATGACATCCTCTGGGGACCCCGAAATCGGTGTGAGAGGGCGAAAAAATAACAGTAAAAAAAATACTGCTTAAGTAAAGGAATGCTGTCATTACACAGCTGGAAACACAAATTTGCCACAGAAACATGTATTAAACTAACAGTCTTGATCCATGCACTCAAAACATTAAAAGCATTGTGAATACTTCGTAGAAAGGTAAAAAAAAAGTCATGAATAGATATGCTGCATATTACCAAATCTATTTAAGGTTATTTCATGCATTTTGTTGGTATAGCAATCAATAAAACAAATAGGGCCTATATCAAACAAACAGTGTGTCTTTATTTGTACTCTCAGAATATTTAAGCATTATGAACACTTCACAGAAATGTAAAAAAAAATGATGCAAAGATATGCTTAATACCAAATCTATTAAAGGTCATTTCGGTCGATGCCATTTTGCCTACTTCGACTCACACGAAGCAGCTAAACTGTTCAGTGGGTGGCCTGTCCGACCTTCAGCCCACCAAATACCTCGACGCCCTTATCGACCCTTTTTTGCTACAAAAAAATCTGGTATGTCACTGAAATTTTCCGGGCGATAATCGCTGGACGCCGCCAGCCTCTCGTATAATTGTAAAAAGGTGATATCTCCATGCCCAATATCAATGGCATACCAATCCAAAACGACAGCTCCCGTTCTCTTTATGACTTAATTGTCAATAGAGATGAATTTGATGGCAAAGCGGCCATATTTCCAAGCGGCGATAATACGCATGCACAGAAAGCTCATTTTCTGGCAAATTCAATAACGACGTTTGCGACAACCGACTTCGTTGGGGTGATTTTGTTTTATTGGGCAAGTAGGGACAACTTACAATAGAATGTGTCAGCAGTTAAGACCACATTTCTTGTTTTATTGGGCAACTTCGACTTACAATAGTGTGTGTCAACAGTGACGCTTGTCGCATTTTGGATTTCTGACCAACTTATAGCTTACAATAGCTTTTGATCGGACAGAGAGCGGTCAGCTAACATACTGCTTACTTAATAATAATGAATGGCGATATTTGTTTATTGACAAGGTAGTTTTATTTACAGAAGGGTTTACAAACACATCTCCATCATCAGAATATATGCTACACATTTAGACTGTGCCATGGTGTAGTGAACCGTTAATTAGTACTGATAGTCTTCTAAATTTGCATACCTGAGATATGCATAGGCCCTATATGTGTTAGTTTTAATAATTCAAATGTAGGCTATATAGGCATGACATGTTGCATGACAGTTAAAGAGAAGTTCAGTTAAAATGTAAATCAAGATATAATTTAAATGTAGATACAATGAAGTTTTAATGTAGGCCTATATAGGCATGGCATGTTAGGCCCCTACATGTCAGTCATGAAAGTTCATTTAAAATGTAATATAAATTAAGATAGAGTATAAAAACAGTGACCAAGCCACAGAAGAGAGATAGACTGAGAGATTTAGAGACATAGTTAGAGATACCACAGAGAGAGATGGAGAAGGAGAGCAGAGACCTGAACTGTACAGTCGATTGAATAAATCATGTAGCAGTAAACTATTCCTGCCTGTCTCAGTCTACTGGTGAAAAAGTAACTCTAAAAAGGTGTATAACCACCGACTGGTTATTACAAATGGCGAGCTTAAGCAGCTGAGACAGAAATTAAGGCAGTTTATATAGTCAAGATGCTGTATGAAAATAGAAAAACAACCAAGAGTTGACAGATATAATTTATTTGTGGCTATTTTGAACACATTTCCCGTCATAAGAACACAGTAGGATAAATGACTGCATACTAGCATGTTTCTGGTATTGAAAAATCAAAATGGCCGCCAACGCATACAGCAGAGGATGAAGTATAGCAGTATAGTCAGTCTATAACGTGTATAATTATTCTAATTAAAACTTTTTATGCCTTCGATTTTTCTGTTCATTTAGATTTTTAATTAGCCATGATCCTTACCTATCATTATCAGCTTGTTTGACACTCAAAAATAAAAGGAATGAAATGAAAAAAAAAGAAAGAATAATTTTCAAAGGAGGGGGGTATAAATAAAAATATTTGAAAAATAGTATAATTTAAGAAAGCTGCTCATCCGGGTACTTGTGATTTTTGGAGTTGCCCCCCGATCCAAAATTGACAAACACCCAATGGTCATTCATCGTGGAAAGTTTCATGCTTTTATCAACTTTTGCACAATTTTTTGGCTTAGCCGCCTAACTAATAGTCAAGATGCTGTATGAAGACGAGGACCAGTATGAAGACCCAGACATCTACAGCAGGCTGTTAGATTGTCTGGGTGGAATCATAAGTGCTCTGAAGATGCAGGAAACTAGCAAAGAAGATGTACTTTTATTGTCAAATTCCCTCGCAAATCTGTGGGAAGTAATGAAAGAAGAAACAACAGAGTATGACAACGGAAACAAACTATCTTTCGAAGCAATGATAAGCAGCATTCAGATGGAAGTGGGGCAGAGAAGCTCAGTGGATGATGACAGCTGTGATGAAGAGACTGCAATAGGGAAAGAAGTTAGAGAGGGGATCCGGAGCAATGAGGTT